GTTTTGTAAAGGAAGAAACCACAACCCAAAATACCAAGAATACCAGTGTAGGGTCCCGAGGGAAATCACAAGGGGAAACTCCCTATTCCTTAAGATTATTTGTAAGATTCTAATCTAACTTTTTATGGCTCCCCTTTTCCTGGAACAGAGTTGCTGAACCAGCTAGCCACCCTATATCCTAGGCCTTATTTTGTCTGCTGAGGTGGTCTTCTTTATCCTGGCCTTTCAGTTATGATGACTGTGGTGGTTATGATGACTGTGATGTCTGTTATGGTTGTGATGGCTATGATGATTGTGATGGCTATGATGGTTGTGGTGGCTATGATGACTGTGATGGCTATGATGTTTGTGGTGTCTATCATGACTGTGATGGCTATGATAACTGGTGGTTATGATGACTGGTGGTTATGATGACTGTGATGGCTGTTATGGTTGTGATGGCTATGATGATTGTTATGGCTATGAAGATTGTTATGGTTATGATGGCTGTGATAGCTATGATGATTATGAGGCTATGATGGTTGTGATGGCTAGGATTATGATGATGGGATATGTTGGTGATGATTTTGGTGATTTAGAAGGCTATGATGATGGTATTGGCTGTGAAGAACATAACATGATAAAAGACTCAGAGACTGATATTGGAATTCAAGCTTCAAGCTGAAGAGCAGAGAAACAAAGCAGCCTGCCACTAGCTCTTACTTCTAGCTCAGGTTGAAAGGGCTGGTCCACAAACTCTTCACTAAGCCTCAGACTGCTGCCTCTTTTCAGCATGGCTGGAGAGAATCCTGAGACTGAGCCCACTGAAGACCCTGCTCTCTCTTTAGTGCTAGGATTAAAGGTGCGTGATACCAAGTGCTGAGGTCATCTTTGTATGAGCTATTTCTCTTAACACTGGACCAGTTTCATGTAGTCAGTGCAGCCTTGAACTAACAGAGATCCGTCTTACCTCTTAGTCCTGAGTCCTGGGATTAAAGGTGTGTACCTAGCTTCTATGGCTTGTGGATAACTTTGCTTTCTGAATCCTCAGGCAAGCTTTAATAAATCATAAATAATATATCACCACAGATGAGATATTGACTATGATGTTGGCAGTGATGATTATGATTATGATGCCAGTGATGACTGTGAAGACTGTGATGACTACAATGATGGTGATGGCTCTGATGACTGATGACTTAGATGACAGTGAGGGCTATGATGATGGTAATGGTTATCATGACAGTATTGACTATGGTGAAGACTATGATGACCATCGATTCTATGATGACAGTGTTTGCTCTGATGATAGTGATGATCAAGGGTTGTGCTTATGTGCTAAGTGAAGGTGGTGAGTAGATGGCATCCAACCATGAAAATATGCCTTCCTACTAATGGCACATCCAAGGGCAAACACTCACAGGCTAAGACTCTCATGAAGATTCCCCTTGCTAAGGGACCTGATAGCGAGAAAGGGAGGACTGGGGTTGTGGCTCAAAGTTAGAGCACTTTCCTAGTACTCACCAGACTTTGGGTTTTATCCAAAACACATAAAATAAAAAGGAAATGGAGATTACACAATGTGCCTTAAAGTGAGGAGTCACTAACACCATCTCTAGTTTTAGGATCATCTACATAACAAGGACTCTAACTTCTGCTTTATTTTTTCCCTGCCACATCGTAGGCATGTTTCTATCTGTTTGAAGTAATCATACTTTTCCATTTGTTTTCTTTTACTGTTTTTTACAGGACCAACTAGTGATAGGCATCTTAATAAAAGCAACCATCTGTGTTAGTTACTTTTCTAGCTGCTGTGGAAAAATACCTAATGAAAACAATTTAAGGAGGGGTTTGCTTTGACACACAGTTTGAGCATCTAGACTATCACAGTGGAGAAGGCATGGCAGAAGGTGTGTGAAACATTCAGCCACATTGCATCCATAGTCAAGAAGAAGAAGAAGTAGACAAATGATGGTGTTCAGCTTGCTTTCTCCCTTTTATACAGCCTATGCCTCCAGATCATAGAATGGTGCCATCCACATTTAGGATGAGTCTTCCCAACTCAGTTAACTCAATTTAGTACCTTTTTCACATACACACCTGGAAGTGTGTTGTTTAAGTAACTGTAGATCCTGTCAAGTCGACAATTAATATTAAGCATCACCCCATGCCTAGCTGTTGTTGGCATTCTTTTGAATATGTGGTGTAGACGGATTGTTCCTCTCTCAGTTAATTTGTCCTTCATCTGTAATAGCAGAAGTATGACTTTCAGAACTGTACAATGTGGTGATATACTATTTATGATTTATTAAAGCTTGCCTGATGGTACAGAAAGCAAAGTCAGCCACAAGCTATAGAGGTCAGGCAGTGGTGGCACACACCTTTAATCCCAGGTCTCAGGATTAATAGGTAAATGGGTCTCTGTTAGTTCAAGGCCACACTGACTACACAAAATTGATCCAGTCCTAAAGAAACAGCTCATACAAGGGTGATCTCAGCACCTGGGATCACACACCTTTAATCCCAGCACCAGGGAGAAGGAGACAGGAGCAACACGGCTAGGCAGAGAAAGAAATAAAAGGAGGAGGAGACAGGAACTGAGAGCCTTTTGCTTCTGAGGATTTGTGGAGACAGGATTGCCATTTCAGCTAGGAAGAGGTAAGAGCTAGTGGGTTGGCTGCTTTGCTTCTCTGATCTTCAGCTTGAAGCTTGAACCCCAATATCTGTCTCTGGATCTTTTATTTTTCATGTTACAGTACAGCACCATACAGAATGAACAATATCTCTCAGCCTCTTCTGTAGCTAGCTTACTAAGGCAATCAAATTCTAATGAGTAGAAATCAGATGCACGTACACATACTTTCTGGGATGGCTCCGTAAACAAGACAGGTCAAATGCTCTTCAGTCTTCATTCTTTCTGATGCTTGCATTGGCTGTGGACGTAATAGTTGGAGAGCAAACATCCACCTTGGATCAAGATGTCATCTTGCAGAGTATGGGACAAATTTTAAAGGTTGGTTTCTAAGGACAAATTATATTCCTTCTGTATAATAAAAAAGGGAGGCTTGTTTTTACAGTGTGCCAAGAGAATCAATGGTAAACAAGACAATGTTTCTATCCCAAGGAAATTTACACAGATGTCAAGATGATTGACAATTAGAAAGGGATGTCCTGGAAAGATGCAGAGCATTCAGCCTAAGTGGCTAACACACAATAAATGTGGTTTATTAAGTACATTGGTGCTCCAGTAGTTAGAGGCAGGGTGGTCTTGAGCTCAAAGCCCAGTGAGTTCCAGGATAGCCTGAGCTACAAATTGAGACCCTGTCTTGAAAAACAGTTTCTGGAGGAAATGACCCCATACAGAGGGTGAAAGGATTGGGCCAGAGATGGAGGAAGGCATGAAAGAGTTGTCTTGCTCAGGGTGTGGGCAGGTGTTGGTACTGTTCACCCTTCCTCGGTCAGTAAGTGAGGGGATATCCATCCTAAGAAGGCACAGGTGCAGTTCAGGGGACTCAAGCTTGAGAACAGGATCATTAGAAAGCTAGATGCAGCTGTTCTGTGTTGAACCCACTGAAGGGGATCAAGTCAGAAGCAGGCAGACCAGCTGTGCACCTGCAGGGAAAGATTAGAATCAGATAAGGAACTCTACTCCGAAGGCATGTTGACCTTGTTTAGTAGAAAGAGTGTGTAAATAGGAATTTTGAGGAAAAGCCAGCTTCACCTGGCTACTTAGCTAAAAGAGCATGCAATTAGGAACAAATTTGAATATTAATCAAAAATCAGAAAGGGAATCAGGAGAAATGATTGGAAAATCTGCTCTTTCTGCTTATCCTCACTGCTCCCCTCGCTATGCCTGCACACAGGCAACTTGGTTTCTTGAGAGCTCAGAATTCACCACCCCCGACATTACCACTATAAAGGTAGTGTGGCACAGGGTTGGGTATAAACCGAGTCAACTTCATCAGAGATGAGAGAATCTCTGAGCATCAGCGAGCAAGGACAGGGTATCTGGGTGGATCAGATTGCACTTGTCTCTCCTAACCCTTGGTGCTCCTCTGCTCTGAGGACAAGAGCGCTGCCACACTATTGCGTGCAGTTGTTAGGTGTTCCGGGAGAACACTGCAGCTAGGTCTAAAGTAGTAGCTACCAGCACAGGCCGGAAAGAAATTCCAGCCATTTGGCCATTTGCATTTAAAGTTCAGCAGCGCCGCAGAAACTGGCCAGCTTGTGGTCACAATTTTATTTTTAAAGGCGGGTGACTGCGTGGGTGTATGGGGGAAAGGAACTTGCAAAGTGGCTTGGTTTTTAAATAAAAGAGTGAACTGCAAAACCAGGCATCAGCAGAAAACGAGAGGTCAAGAGCGCAAACACACCCCCAACGAAACACCAGCATCAGACTCCCACATCTGGAGTCTGGTGGTGGAGTCAGGGGCGTGTAGTTTGCGAGTGAGAGAGGGGATGCCCAGGTCGGGCGCACAGATCTCATGTTACCAGACGGCGAGAGAATTTAAAGAGATGCACTCATTAGGGGTGCGTGGAATAAGGGGCGCACAGTGTGGGGGCACACGGATCGCGGATACTCCCCAGCGCCATCGATGGCATCTTGGGGAGAACGCAACGACCCCACACACGGATGTTACCCCGTCTCATCTCCAGCCGCGGAATAATGGGGAGAGCAAGGGTCGGGGGCACACATGTTTCTCCAACCTCAGCCCTGGGGTCCTGAAAGGCGTGTGGACGCAGGTTAGGAGGCGCAGTGCACCGGCATGCGGATCACCCCTAGTCTTGGCTGTGGATAAGCACAGTCACAAGGGTACTTGGCACGCGGGCGCCAATCCGGCTTCAGCTCTAAGGCCTCT